CCTGTTGGTGCACTTGGTTGACCTCATCGAAACCGATGGTCAGACACACACTAGATACGTCCTAAAAGAGTGCATGTTGGCAAAATATCAAATCGACACGAAGCACTGAATGCTGGTGCCTAGATGTCTGTCGTATTTCGTTTGTCTGTTATCTAACTCATCAGGACTGACTCAGCCGGCTCCAAGTTGCAGGTTCGCGGTACTAAGAAAGGCCATTTTACTGCAGTCACACAGCAACGCACAATAGTCAGTCCTCTCCGTTTTACTGTTTATTTTTCGGCACGCACTGACTGCGTTGGCCTCCACCTTAATGACGCCATCAGTGCAGACGAGATCAACAACAAGCGCACCACGGCGTACTGTAAATATGTGATGCTACAGTAACAAGAAATTGTATTCCTACTCATCATGACTTTGTACATCGCTGGCCCTCAAGAGGTTGGATGACGAACAAAGGGTCATTGGCATCACAGCGCAGAGTGGTGCAAAACTCATAATGATTAACAATTGGATGAGTACAGACAAGTTGGCCGGCTACCAAGAAAAAAGGCTCCCTCCGCCTCATTAATGGCGGCAGCATGAATCGTAAAGTACTGTATTATGTCGTTCACCAGATGGTAAAAACGAAAAAGAGGACCCACTAGGATAAAAGATTGGATAAGGGACAGGTTGGAAGTCCTGACCACCCAAACAGGGTGTCAATAATGGCAAACCTACTCCCAGGGAAAATTTAACTTCGCATGACCTAACTGCACACCTCACTAACTTGTGACATTTTTACCAGAGAACCCTCATTAAGGGGCGTACTGCCTCCTTTTTATATATGTAATGCCTCGTAACGATACCAAAAGTGAAAAAGAATAAACTTCGACAAGTATTGGTGACAAAGAGGAGACTGGAATGGTCATGTCTGGTTTGATTGCCAGCAAGGATGCCAAACACGGACCGTGCGCCAGGGGTTTGAACCCGGATCATGAGCTAGGCGCCTAAGCCATATTGGCTGAGATCGGCAGGCAGTCAAGTGGGAGTGACTTGCACC